AGATGTGGATTGTGCTATAAGTAATTTAACCGATAAGGCACAATTGTTCATGATTAATATGATATATAAATAGATTGTTTTATTCTTTATCGCAGCGTTGCTGTTTATTTCCGTGTAAGCAAGCAAGAGCCAAAACAATGTATGTCTCGACTTTTTTTTTGCTAACCACTCTTCAGTTCGATTCCTAATTGCCTCTGCTAAGGATTGTCCAGCTCAAGTGTAACAGTTTTTTACTTTATTTAATGGCAATTGGCTTGTACATATGCATTATCTTTCTGACTCTGGCATTTTTTATATTCGTTAAGGTGAGCATTGCGAATGGGTTTCCATTATTTTCCAATTTATTCCAATATTTCACTCTACAGATCGCCTGCATGGCCATTGCAAGTGTGAATCGTCGGCGGGTCGCAGGTGAGCCGATCAAATATACTTTAATAGATTTGTTAGCTTTAAAGAGTGTTCTTTTAGTAATGAATTTAAAAATAAGTAGTTAATTATTTGAGCTCATTGATTCTGTTAATGAACTGACAAGTTAGACTTAAGCTTGACAACTTCTGAATGCAGAAAAAAAATAAAAAATATATAAATTATTAAAATAAATTTAAAACACAGAAAAGACATTAATAAATATATAAATAAATATTAAATTAAAATTAAAAATATAAAAAAAAATATTGAAAAATTCTAAATATGCTTAAAAATGTTACTTTTTAAAAAAAATGTTTTTTAAGCATTTTATTAAGATTTAAAAAATATTTTTTCCGTGGCTTAGTATTTAATTTTCTTTATTTTATTATTTTTGTAATATTTGATAATATTGTTAGTATGATATTATTAGTATTGAATTGAAGTCTATAGGAATACTCTGTTGTGTCCATTGGCAATAGCCATACAACTGCATTTATCTGCACAATCACAACGTAAATTCGATCTATCATGGGCTTCTTCAATCTCGAGAACAGGAAACAGATCAGTAAACTACAGTGACTGCAGCATCATTAGAGTTTTGTGAAGAGAAATAGGAAAAAATCAAAAATAGTTAACTGCATTCCTAATAATTGTTTTCGATTTATAACTTTCCCGCTCAATAGTTAAAAACTTTAACTTTAATCTAGTCGAACTATGCTCAACGCTTTTAAAAGCTCTCGCACATATAAATATCTAAAACGAATTTGTGGGCGTATTTAATCAATATTTGATTGGACTGCCATCACAGCCCAGTTACTTTTCGATTACATTTGTGATAAGACCCCATACAGCTGGTCCTATCAACAATTTTCTGGCTTTAGTAACTTTTGTGTTTGCCTAGAGTAAATAACAAAAAGTTGAGCAAATATGTTGTTCCTACTTATAGCCATGTGCTTCATCTATTGCTTTGTAAGTTTGAAAAGCTATTCACTTCACTTACAGAATAATAAAAATATTCTTCATTTTTGTTAAAGGTCCTAATCTTGTTAGTGCGTATGAGAAGTACTAGACAACCGAGTAAGTGAACAGACATATTTAAAATGTCGTCGGGATCTGTCTAGCTCTGAGCTTTAATGATTTCATCATATTTATCAAATTCTTTAACTGATAGTGAGAGTATATAACAAACAAGTTTCCATTTGATTGAGCTGTTTGCAATTTAGTTATATTCGTTCAGAGTTCAGTACACGAAGGTAGAAATGATTAGCTCCATGCTGATTGGCATAGGAATTTTCCCAGTCAGCTTACTCTTCTGCTGTTGTGTGAGTTGAATTTGTAGAGTATCTGCTGACTGCTTTATTAACATTTTAAATAATATTCTTAAAGGCTGTACTCATGTTTAGGCGCAAACCGATTTCAGGGAGGCCTGGTAAATGTTTATCTTCTATAAATTAGAATCTGTGAAAAGTAAATTGTGAGGCTTACTTCATAAAAATAGTTGAAGTTTTTTATACATAAAAAAATATTTTATTTTTATTTATTTTTGATTTTTAATAGTTTCATAAATTCATTAAGCTTTTAAGGATGATCTCTCTCTCTCTCTCGCTCTCTTCTTTCTCTCTTCTTAACTTGTCTAAATGTTTTTTTAATAAAAGAGTTCGTTTTATTTCGCATCAACAAAATTAACTTAATTACGGTCAGCGATAAGATTTGTGATAAGGCTAAAGAATGACTGTATTAACGAATGTGACAACGTAGTTGATCACATTTTTGTGTAATTAGTTATTATGCTCGTTCACAAAGTCAATAGAGTATATAAGTTTTCTTCTGTTTCTATCTGTATGAACATAAACCAGTTGTGCATAAGCTTGTGTGCTAAGGTCTTACTCTTTAGGACATACACCCACAGAGGGCGTGGCAACTTGGAAAAGTATATTTTTGCTGGAGTAAAGATATTTGTAGATAGTGTAATTATTTGAGTATGATTATATATAGTCTTATATATCTTTAATCCTCAACAAATCTGAAATCTGGCTGAAGTTTGAAAGCTGAACGAGTATTACGTAGTCGGCAGCGTTAAGCTCCAACAGTTTTGCCTGTATTTTTATTGATAAAGTGCTATATAGAAGCACATAGAATGACATATCATAGGTAAAGATAGTTACACATACAAATGAAGCTAACTTTCTATTCAGTTTTCTTTCACTACATTGAAAAGTCATTCACACCTGACATTTTGGCCATAGATTAACTTTCAAATGGGGATCCCTTTATGTAGCACCTAAAGCACGATTAGATAAGCCAGTGCTCGAGTTAAGAGCTTAGAATATAAATATAAAAGTGCCGTTGACAGCATTTAGCATGATAATAATAATAATAATATAAGGCGATAGAGAGACCGATCGAACATCGAATCGGCATTTGCCATACGTCTGTCAATGAAGTTTGTCGCTTCGTTAGATTTTCTGTTCATTTATTAACTGCCCTACGAAATGACGCAGGGATATTGGGAGCTGACGTACGGCATTTTGATATTAGTCGTGCTGATCATATGGGTGAGCTAAGAGAGTGTCGAAAACAGAAAGGTATCAAGTCGAAAACCATTGCTGATAAGAATCTTTGCACTTCCGAAAGGTGTTGGCCACAAGTTGTAAAACTGATGAGAACACAGCTCAAGAGACGCCTACGCAAAGAACCAATCGCAGACCCAACAGAACTGCAGCCAGAGATACGAGAAGCCACGGTAAGCTTTTCAGATAAAATGGATTCGCATATGAAGTGAGGCTGAGATCATTTCAGTCTTTGTTAAGTTTTCCGTACGGTTAGTCGTTCCCCAAATATCTTCTTCTTGTCATGGACATCTTATGGAGCCTATTTCTTATCTCATTCTTCTTTATTGTCATCTACCTGGCCTGGGTGAGCTTTTAGTCACAATCTTCACACAATATGCATATTTCAAATGAATCTCTAAAGATTGTAGATAATATTTTGCACAAAATCAATGAGGAAAGAATTCGAATTGCGGCGCAACGTAGTGCTGTAATGCCAGCTGCAAGTGCTCTGGGTAAGCTTTTAAGATCTACAACAGCAACAAAAAAAAACAATTTTGTTGCTTATCTCATATTTTGAACCCATAGAAATGGGCAAAGAAAGGCGTGACAGACGCCATAAAGTATATATTTTCTTAATCAACACGATAAGCTGAGCTGTCCGTCCGTATGAACTCGGAATACCCGTATAATTGGATTGACAGCTGTACGCAGAACTGAGGGCTGCTCATCAAAGCTGATAGCTGCATAATATTTAGTCATTCTTATTTACACGGACCTGTTACAGTTTTATCGCTTAATCATTTAGCTTTGCTCTGTTAAATATTTCGCATCATGAGCTTCAAGCAACTGCACATGGCTTTGATTAGATAACAAAGCTTTTGCTCTGATGTGTGTGTGATATATTTGATATGAGCTTAAGTCACATAAATATATATATATTTATACCTACATATATATAGATATATATAATGCAATCTGTGCTCGCCAGTCGTTGGTTGTCTACCAATGGGAAATATTTACCGAACGCGCTCCAATTGGGAACTGTTGTCCTGCATTCTAATTGGAGACACTGTTATTATTTGGGTGAGCTTTGAATTAGTTTAAATGCCAAAAACTATTCAAGGAATGTTCTAATTTTTCGCAGTTGCTTATTAAAGCCTGCATTGAATCGAAAAGCGAAACAAATCGTAGAGCGCCACAGCTGACGCGCATTAGACAGTTGGAAGATTTAAATGTTAAGCTCTATGGAGATAAAACACCATCAGATATAAGCTAAATATAGAAAAAACTTAAGTAAACTGTAGTAAAGCAGTAAAGCTCTAAGTATATCGCTTATCTGGCTTTGTTTTATCATCAATGCCCCGATGCTATCTAGATAACAATTTAGTTTCATCCTCGTTCACTCGTCGCTCAGTTGTCAGCTCAGTCCGCTCGCATTCAAATGGATGTCATGGAATGGTATTACACTATATCATTTTTGCTAATATTGCTAATACTCTTGCGGGTGAGTTGGGTAGATTGCAAACGATATATATATATCCTATATCGTCAATCACTTCTGTTGCTGTTTAGACATATCTGGGCCCATTTCGGCATTGGAGCTCCTGCAGTAAAGTTCAAACTGAGCCTGGTGAGTGCCTTTCAAATTGCTAAGCAGCATAGGGCTTAGATATCAGAGCAGAATTTATACACTTTACGATTAGCTCAAGCTGTCAAAATTACGAACAGATACATTACAAATGTACACGGAATTTTGGTTCTGTGGCATTCTTATTGGGATTGCTGTCACCTTAATTTTGCGGGTAAGCCAATTGCCAATGCGTTCGGTCCATTCACTCAACTGAACCAACTCTCCGAAGGAGTGCTATCTATTTGTGAGACTGAAGTTGGAGGAATGGAACAGACGTGTCTTGATACGTCGTGAAGTAATGTTGCGTCTAGCACTCGAGGGTAAGATTTGACTATAGTTAAAACCACTCTGGACCCCCACTTGAGTGCATGAGCTTGAAACGCAGTAAAAAGCTTGGCGCGATTAGATAACAATCCTTACCATAAAACAAAACGATACGTTTCTCGAGTGCTACTAAGCCCATTCAGTAAATTTCTAAATTTCCTAAATTCTGTTAACGTTCGCACTTCAAACCGTTTGGCACGGACCATGAATTCCAACGATTTTATCTATATCCTAATACTATTTCTCTTGTTGGCTATCGTAAGTGTAAACTATATCGACAATAAGTTCAAGTCTGTTCAAGTTTTACTTTGCCAAATAGTTGTTATTTAAGAGCCGAACCAATAGCAATTCGGAGGACACAGACGACACTACGTTGGACCGCTCTAGACGAGCCTCCAGCCTAACGGGTGCGTACTAACCCAAGGGTTTAAATTCCATACGATATCGTCATTGAGCACTTCAACTGATAATATGCGGCTGCTCAGATATGTCACTAATATATATATATATATATATATATATATATATAAATGTATTTATATGGCTATATATAACATATAATTAATCACGTACCACCATTTGCAATGTTGATAAGCGACAGGTTCTATTTATCGTGCCTGGGTCTAGACTCTTTACCATTATAGAATAGTTACTTGGCCGTGTCGAACTGAATTCGTCGTCGATTTAGTGTTAGTTCTTAGTCATGGCCGTCGATGTCGGCCTGTATTTAGTTTACTTTATTTTTCTCGTTATTTTTCTGATTTTGATACGTGTAAGTGGCGCCGTTTTCATCATTTTCCTGCCCAGTGTGCTTACCTTTCGCTTCTTGCAGCTGTGTTGTATGTGTGCCATGCGTAAGCCTGTCGTCCAGCAGCCAACGCCCGCGGATAGGCGTGGCCCGCCACGTGTACTGAGACAAATACGCATTGATCCATCCGGCACAACGACAGAAATAGCCGCAGGTGAGCTGTGACAGATTTACAATGGGCTGAAATAGCCTCTTCGATAAGGCGTCTATTTCTGAACTATCATAATCTCTAACAATCCTAGCTAACTATCGCAATGCGATTAGTACTTTTACCCCCCACACTCACGAGCATCGGTTGCGTTTGTTATTCCGAAGGAGCTTTTCGACTGCGCGACACTTGTTTATGTTTGTGTTTCCTATTGTGGTATTCATCCCAGATTTGATAACAGTGTTGAAGCAATGATAAGCCCAGATACAATTTGTGGCTATCAACAGAAAATGACGTCAAATACCAAGTATTAAATCTCTTTGATTTTGTTGATAGGACAAAGTGAAAACAAATGAATTGAATAATGGAAACATTTTTATATATCTTTATCGAAGTTAGCCTAATATAATAATTAAAAAGGCCACTGATATGGCTAGAGCAGCATTTGAAAAGAATTTTCCTACTGAAAATAGTTCTTTAAAGGCAACTGCTCTGCATGGAACTAGATTTGGTCATCTAATTGGATTGACAATTCCAATTAGCAAATTAACTTAAATTGGAATTAGCTAAGCAAATTATCGGACTGTTCTAATTAATGCTAACAACACTAACCTGGCTTAAACTTAAATTTTATTTTATATCTAATTACGACAAAAATTAGCTAATGTTGAATATATAGAAAATATGGAGTAATTAAATATAATTAGTATTAATTACACTGCATAGCAAAATTCAGTAATCGAAAGGTTTTAACCTGGTGAATTCTAAACCATAACCAGAATAGCCTTATCAGGTGACTGTCTCATCTAAGAGTAGGAAGGATCAATAAGATCGTTGCGCACGTGAAATTACTAACTCTCTTTATACTTTATACAACTAAACATTTTAATATACTCATTTTATTATCTAAATTCCACAGATACACTCAAATGTACCTTTTGAGGTGTACCTTTCAAGGTACCCTAGAGGGTACTAAGGCCACATTAAGTGTTCCCAAAATGCGATATTTATACTCATAAACTTATTCAGAAATGTACTCTTGAAGGTACCTTTGAATGTACCCTTTGAGATACTCTTTAATATAGCCCTAAACTTAGCCTTGTACACCCTTACACCCTTGAATCTAGTGTACCTTTTAAAAATACTTAAATGTACCCATAAAGGTACACTGAAATGTATCCTGAAAGGTACACTGAAATGTATCCTGAAAGGTGAAATCGAAATGGACCTAATGTACCCTGAAAGGAATTCATATTGGAATTTTCCATGTGGCCGCATTGTCAGCATATTTATATTTAGGTATGCTCTATCTCGAATTCCGCACGTGCCACAACTTTCGGTCAGGTGTCCTATGACTATAGTAAGCAATATCTTGCTGTTATAAATTTATAAACAAAAAAAGATTAAAGTTTTGACTCAATTTCCGGTTGCGATAAGCGATAATCGATAATCGCTCAATCTGCTTCCGTTCGTTCCATTGTTCCAATTGGAATTGTAAGACATCAATAAATTCAGCTTAGCCTAAAAGATTGTCTTAAGGAAGCGCTCAAGCCGCAGCAGCAGCAGCGTACCTTTGACATTGAAATATTTAAATTCCCCACGACATTAAAATTTTTTGGAGCATGTGAAAAATGTTTTCAGTGAAATAATGGAATATAATTGCTTTATGCTGTCCACTTAACTAGCTTGTCCGTAATAGATTTATTACAGTGTTTTTTGTTGTGCTTTGTTTATGCTTGTGTAATAATTAATTAGCTTGTGTCTCACACAACATTAATTCACACAAATTTATTTACAATTGTTTGAATACTTCCGCAGTCGGCGGGATTTCAAGTGTGTCCAAATTTATGATCGTCTATATTTGAGATGTATTCTTAGACTTTTAGCTCTCTGCAACGCAATGCATAAAGCTCTCACGCAATGATGCAAATCTTATCTAATCAGAGTGAACCAGTCTCTTATCAGACAAATGCGAAACACTCGCCACCTGCCTGGGCATAGTCTTCCTCTCTCGCTAACTTTCTCTCTCTCTCTCTCTGGCACTATTCTACTGATAAGATGCTCCAATAAGGTGCACAGCATGGAAATCCAAACAGTTTGCCAGCGGCTTCTGCTGGAACTGAAGTGATTGAGTCTACACAAATTTGTGTATTTTGGAAATTGTGAATTTCGATTTTGATGTAAGAATGTTGGATATACTGTCCATTTTCTCGGGCGTATTTCTCTTGTTTCTATCTTGCGCCATTTGTTGTTGCTGCCTGCGCTTTGCTGTTTGGGCCTGCTACGAACTGTGGCAGCCACGCGCAGGTATGTGCAACGGAGATCGTATATTAAAATATATAAATTATAAATATATAAATTAGGATTTTGTCAATTTGCTTTATATACATTGTATTAGCTAATCTAATCGTCGTCTATTATCTCATCTGTGATAAACGAAAACATACAAACTTTCATTAAGCAATTAAATGACTATTGGCCCGATTCGAAATGTTAAGTGAATATTATTGCTCAGTTTAAGTTTTCGCTGATAACTCATTTGGAGCAGATACTTTTAGTGCTCTCTGACTTTTCAAACGCAACGGATAAGAATATTGCGAAATAGAATCATGGACAAGATGTTTATGTTTTACTTCTTCCCAATCTTCATAATAGTTCTGGTACTGCCCACTCTCTATGTCTGTATACAGGTAAATGTTACACATGCGCTAACCGGTTACAATAGTCTTTGAAAGTATTTTAAATACATATTAAAGTTTCTGGTATGGAAAATGTTATTCGGCTGCAGGCGCACGTCAACCGAATCGCCGCGCAGTAATCGGGATATGCAGCTGCGTTCCTTTGGTATGTACAACAACGTGAATTGCTTGGGAAATTATATATAGTATTGATATATGTATATGTATACATATATATGTGTGTGTGCGCATAGATACTATGCGCGGCTTGAAGTGTATCTGATAAGACTCTCAGTTAGCCCTGTTTACGGCATATAGCCTTTTCAAAAGTCTGCCTTATTTCTTTATGTCTTTATTTTTTGTGATTTGATAAGCACTTTAGTCTACTTCTGAACTTGCTGCAATATGGAAGTGGGTCCAGTTTTTTATTTTATAATACTTTTGCTAATTGGCTTTCTATCTTATGCGCTGCTGCAGGTAAAAATTCGCAGAAACCCGAAAAACTTTCAACTAGCTTCGTTTGTCTTTCTGTTAGTGTGCGATTATCTGGATTATCAGATGTTGTTGTCCTGCGTCGAATCAAAATGGCAACAGAAGTCAAAGTAAGTGTGTGTGTGTGAGTATGTGTGTGTGTGTGAAAGAGTATAAGTAAGCGCCCGTTATGTTGTGCCTTAAGCTTTTATAGCATTGCTTACATGTGACCGCCAAAACATATAGTATATATATACATGTATATATATATATATGTGTGTGTGTATGTGTGCGTATGTACGTCGTTTAGCAACTTCGTTTATCATATTGCGTGCGGCTGTATACACATAATCTTATCACTAAAAACGAAACAAGTACCAACGCATGTACATACATAAATACCTATATATATAAAAAAAATATATATAAATATATATATATTTATATATATATATATGCACATATGTTAGCACGTACATAATATAATACATAGCTTACTAGTCGTGTACATAGGCACTATGATTAGTTTCGAACGTATCGTTGCCTGTGGCGGGCGTGCAAAAAATTATGCACCTGTTTTGTCGACACCTGGCTTCAATTCTAATCCACATCCATGTCCGGCTCGCTCTTGGATTTTGGCACTAATCTGGGCCTGCATGTGGCCATTTACTTGGGCTTGGTTTTTCTGTTCTTCGGCGTATTGCCCGTCGTTTGCTTCTATGTGCGCATCGAGAACCGAACTCTGGCCAAGATTTGCCCGCCGCGCTGCCAACGCCAGCAAAGGCAAATCAATCGCAATCGCAATCACAATGGTAACGTGTGCCAAATATGAAGGCGGGCTTTATCTAATCGCTGGCTTTTGAGCACCCAGCACCATTTGAATTTGCTGCTTATTATTATTGTTTTGTTAGACAATCGACTTTTTATTAACTTTTTTTTGGCAATAACAATTGAAAAGTAAAATGACTTTGACGAGCTCTTTAGCTTTGGCGCTGGGTTTCCTGGTTGCCATATTCATAATAGGCCAATTCATCTGTGTAATTATCTTGCAGATCTATGATCGGCAAATCACTATCTTAATCATTTATCTCATTTCATTAGCTGGCTATGCGCATGCATCAATCCGACTTGTTGAATCGCCAACGACAACGTCAACGTGAAAGGCTTGGTATACGCGTCGGTTTAATTTATCAAGATTTGATTTTAGATTGGACTAACATATGTCTTTTAATCATGGTTATCTTGCAGATCGCCAGAACAATGTGGAACTTGGACGTCAGCATAGTCGCTACGGTGATATTTTCTACATTGAGCCAAATAGTCAGGAGGCCGCTCGCATACGGGAGCAGCTGGAAAAGGATGAGAAGGACTTGCCCAGCTATGATGAAGTGATGCGTATGTGCAACCTAACGAGCCCCACGGCAGCTGCAGCAGCCCCAACGCAATCGTCAATAATGGAAACGAGTGTCATCGGCATTGCTGCGCTGCCCGCTCCACCATATTCAGAGATTGATCCGCATCAAAATGTTGTGCCGGCATCTCCCACAACTGCCACTGTTACAGCAGCCAACACGTCAGAGCCCTCACCGTCTACTTCGCGTGCTGCCCAGATTCCAACGTAGCAATAGCTCCAGTTATCCAAAGCATACACACCACACTCATACACAGACACACAAACAGACAGGACAAATAGTGTGAACCTGTCGCTGCAGCATTCCAGTGCCACTCTGAGCCTCACAAATATCTAAATTTGTGTACGCTTTCCTATTGAGAAATAAAAGTGTGATTTTATATAGTATATATATATATATGTATATATATATATATATGTATATATACCTAGGTATTAGAGAGTAGATCTTCGATAATTGTAAATATTTATAAATTTAAGGTGCAATAAATTAATTAAGAGAATTAATGCAAGTGTTTAAATAAAATGTACTCAACATTTTTTATATTTATATTAATAAAAAATTCGGATTGTTATCTTGCAAAGGTATTAATGAAATTGCTATTATAGTTTCTTTAAAAAAATAATCTCTGGATGATTTTATATATATATATATATATATATATATATATATATATATATATATATATATATGTATATATATATATATATATATATATCATTCTCAATTGCTGTTAAATATTTATTTCCTTAAGATAGTTACTTTTTTAAAAAAGTGCCACACTCACTAATTAATTTAAATATCGATATAAATGATACATCGCTCATACACGAACCGACAATTGGAAATATCGATTAAAGCTATCGATAGCTTATCAACCATTATTTGTTTTTTCTTTTTGGTTTACTGCTTATAAACAACGCAATGGACTCAACTAAGGTAAGAAAATCGTAAAATAATTGTTTTTAAATACATACTAACTATAATATATAGATTGAGTTTGCAGTGCAAATGGATAAAGATGTTAAGTCGTGCGTGGATAAGTTGCGGCATGCTTTACAGGGCATAGGTCATATTGACATTGATGCGACCGATGGACGCGTGATCGTTCAGACCACAGCTCCATGGTCCGAAGTACAGGATAAAATCGAAAGTACCGGACGACGAGCTGTACTCTCCGGCTTTGGTGGTCAATCGGCGGTGGCACTTATCAATACAACTGGCTGCGTAGTGGACCGCACACCTGTACAGGGCGCAGTACGATTCACCACGATTACCGCCAAACAGGCAGGCGTTGTTGTGGATGGCGTAGTGGATGGATTAGAGCCAGGACTACATGGCTTTCACATACACGAAAGTGGCGATGTATCGAGTGGATGTGCATCGGTTGGTAATCATTATAATCCGCGTAACTCGCCGCATGGCAGTCCCCAAGCAGACGCAACTAATCGACATGCTGGCGATTTGGGCAACATTCGAGCCGATGAAACAGGCCGTGCTACATTCCGTTTTGTAGATCCCGCCCTAGATATGTGGGATATTATCGGACGGGCCGTTGTCATTACAGCCAATGCCGATGATTTGGGATGCGGCAGCAATCCACAAAGCCGAATCGATGGCAATTCAGGCGAAAGGTAATTTATATAAAATATTTTTCCATATAATTTATAATGGTGTCGTTCATTTAGAATTGCCTGTGGTATAATTGCACGCTCGGCTGGCATATTGCAAAACTTTAAAAGAATTTGTGCCTGTGATGGAGTAACTCTTTGGGATGAGCGTAACAAGCCGCTGGCAGGCAAGGGGCGTGCTACAAAACTGTAAACGTTAAACTTTTTATGGGATTATTGTAAATATATATATTTATAAATATTAATACTACGCATAAATATTAATAACTAAACATTTACAAAATATCGAATAGTTATTTAACATCATTTTGCTTCTGGGCCAATTTTAAGCGGGCCAAATGGGCCTTGCATTTGGTTTTATATGACTGCACGAGTTTGCCACCAGGTGAAATGGCAATCGCTGCATGAATCTGAAAGAAAAGCTTATTAGAATTCAAATATATAATAAAAAAATACTTAATGCTTACCTCCACATAATCAATTTCTTGTTCGTAATGTAAGGAATCTTCTAGCATATTTAAAATCATTTGAAACTGTTCATTGCTTAACACATACGACATTTCTCCTATATTTTGTTTGTACCACTTCGCATAATTATCCAGATTTTGTTGTATATTCATTGTGTTAGCTGCAGCTGCGCGTGCCGTAAGCAACAAATGCAACAAGGAAAGCTGACAGCCAAGCGTAGCTGCATGTAGCAGACGATTCTTGAGGTATTCTAAATGCAGATAATAACTGTTAGCAATATAATTTATAAATTTATATTACATATATATTATATACTATACTTTTTATAAATGCAGCAGTTACTGCATTAGCGGCGCCAGCTATAGATTGCAGTAAAATTATATAAAATTTCCAATATTTAAAATTGGTTGAGGTAGATACTTTAAAGAGATGGCTCAATGCTTGCTCTTGATGTCGAGCAAGAAGCTATAGATAAGTTTCATAGTTACTTTTGACACGTTTGTATAATTATCTCACACATTTACCTTATCTGTCAGTCGCTTTATGAAGATCAATTCATCGACTCCTTCATTAATCCAGGTGCTTAATTGTTGAAATGCCAGACTAATATCTGCAGACACATGCAATTCCAACAGAATATTCAAATGCATTTGCATACATACACTTAACAATACATCATCTATCAAAGCAGATAAAATATACTAATTATAGATATAAGTTAATTCATTTAAAGATCATCTACCAGGCAAAGATTTACACAGCGGCTCAACGTAGTTCAAATTGCTTATCTTAGGATTAACAGCCAGAGCGCTAAAGAGATTTCTTAAAGCATCTTCGAGTATATTATTCAATCTCAGCATATTTATGGAATCTGCAAATAACACAATATTAAATGTTTATATCCTTTATATTCAATTTTATTTGTTTACCGTAATGAGCCGAAACAAATAGATTTATTAGCAACTCATTTTCATTCTGTAGGAACTCTATTAATATCAATTGCAGGTGCTCATCGTTCTCTATGCTGTCAACAAAAATCTATATACATTGATAAGTTTTATATAAATATATAAAACATTTTTACCTGCATATATATTCCGTGGCTGTCAGAATTCTTAGTTTTTGCAGCTGTCGAAGCACTCGAAAACTCCCAACACTTAACGGCAATTGGCAAAAGTATTTGGACAACAACAACTGCTTGTGATAATCATTGATTTAAAAAAATATAAATAAAAAATATTTTCAAGTAATGCACCTTCTCCTTTGCGTTTAGACACTTGAGCAGATCGACAAGATCCTCGGCGGCTCTCTCGCTTGTCTGTGCATTGTCGCAATGTTTTTGTAGCAACTTTGAATAAAACATAATAATATAAGTATAAAATATAAATATATTTATATATGTAATGAGTTTATTTACCCGGCAAGTATATCCAAAACTGTTGCTAACATTGAGATTCATTTAATTTGTATTTTGTACGATTTTTTTGCCGCAAAACTGAAAACTCAAGATACAGTGTGTACATACCAAAGTTATAAATGAAAAACTAAAAAAGGCATTGCAGTAGCCCTGGTTAAAGTAGAGAAGCGTTATTTTTAAAATTAAACGTATATTTGTTTATATATTTTAAATTGCGTGTGTGCATTAAATAGAGCTATGGTATGCATAGTAGATTATAAACGATTATATAAGATAATCTATCTTTGGAAAACATGAATAGGGCGGTGCTTGCTGATAGTATCAAGGTGAACATAATATTGTAAAATTCATGAACTAATTCACTACTTTTTGTTGCCTATAAATAACAGATAAATTAAATCGGGATCATCAGTGCATATGACATTTTCGATAATGGTGTCTGGCAGCTCAAAGTTATCAATAATTGTTTTTATAAACCTTGTCCTGTTTGATAACCTTGTATCAGTAAGTCTCAATCCAATCAAATTACAGTATTAAAAGTAAAAATTAAAAATACTACAGAACGTGAAGCAAAGGTATATCGTATCGCAGCTGAATATTATTAATTCTCCTGGAGATATAATAGTATCAGAACTAACATTGGTGGGACGAAATCATGCCGTAAATGGAACCGTAACTGCGCTCGAAGACTTAACGGACGATTTAATGTTAGGTATACGTATTTATACCGATCCCTACAGCATTGGTAAATTCAAGAAGATGCCATGGGATATGCCATCTACCGGTATTTGCACAGGTATACGGAAATTTTACGATCCATATATTGAAAGTTCATTCCAGACGAATGTAAACATGGATTTGGACCTACTGAATGGTACATTATGCCCGGTTCCCAAGGGCAAACATTGGTTCAAAAATATTTTGCTTGACCCGCAGGATTGGGTGAATACATTACCAGTCGGCATGCTGAAAGTGGAGCTTGACGTTATCAAAAATGGAGCATTTGCTGGAGGTGTAGGCTTAATATTGAACATAGAAAACAAGATATTATATTAAAGCAAACAGGATATGTGTAAAAATCTATCTATTTGAGAAATATATTCAGTAATTTGAGCATCGAATACGTAGTTAAGTTCATTTCATTCACGCGAATCAGAGAGTCAAAGCAAGGAGCGCAAGGATTCTAGCTGCAAAGCGTGTAACGAAGCAAAACATTGCGCCGCAAATGCCGGAAGCTCCAAGGACGCATGCGCTGTGCTTTCCCAAAGTCTAAAAAAGCTCGAGAGCCAGGATAATAAAAAGCTTGTGGCGTACAAAACTTTCCACAGTCTGTGCCAGAATTCAAGTGAGTTGAAGCATTCGCAAAAAAAGAGAATGAAAAAAACACTTTAAATTGCGCAGCATACAACTTAATTGTGACTAACATTAAAATTGTTTATAAACTTGAAACATGCGATAAAAATAATCAAATAGTTCACAGATCCATATATATCTAATCTGTTGTCAAACAAACTGCAGTTTCCGTTTGACACCCACATAGAAGCCGAGGGTAAGTACATCAATTTACAGAACAATTGCATTCACTTCAAGGTTGTGTCATGTGTGTGTGTGCGAGTATATGTGTATATGTGTATATGTGTATATGTGTATATGTGTATATGTGTGTATGTGTGTGTGTTTGTGTATGTCTGGCTGTGTGTGCTTTTCGATTTTTCCGACCGCTCTCCAAGTACAAGACAATTGAAACGAACCCACGGGATCCAAAACACAGCCATGAATTGTATATGAATGATGCAAGGCTGCAGACATGATATCAATACATATATATATATATACGAATATTTGTATGGCATATATATATATCAACAAATTAATGGCAATGCGTCCATGACTGTCGCCTCTGGCTAATTCATGGCCATTCACTTTGCTGTTTACTCAATTAGATATCAGTTTTCTAGGCAAGAGCATGGCTCGCCTTGCCCCGCCCCGAGCGCGCCACGCCCCACCCACGCATTAAACTATTTGTTTGCTTGGTGTTAATTTCGCCTTCAATATGTGTGCTGCCACGACAAGACCTCCAACTGTATGACGCCATGCCACAACCAAAAAAAAAAAGAAAGAAGTAAAAAATGGAACGTTCCATCATCGTTCGGCAGCCGTCCACGCAGGACACTTGTTTGCCTAATGAAGCCGCCTGTTGTCTAAGGACAATTCGTGTTTGCATATAATTATCCTGACCAGTCGGTACTTTATTTGCCTTTGCCTTTCACCTGCAATGTTGTCGCATTTAATTTCTTTAATAAAAAATATGCCATCAATTTGATTGCATGCAACAGTTGCGCTGTCTTTGCCCCTTTTATTTTTATGGCTGGAAATATCATTTTGATTTTATGGCCTGTACTTGGATGCCACAGCCATCTTCCGATTCATCTCATCTCATTTATGAATATTGCAATTTACCTAAAGCATTTTCTTTAAGACATTAAATTGAGAAACTCAAGCTGCAAAAGTTTTCAAAGTTTCTAGAGACTTCAATGCCTGCCATTGACATTGAGCGTCTGCCTTAAGATGCAGACGTGTGCTACAGAGCTGAAAAGCAAAATCGTCTGTTTCAATGGACATTCATTGAGAATTCAATTTGGAGCATAGTTTGACATGTATGAGCGCATGTATCTTTTATTAGGCTGTCAAATGCAACGAAAATTGAAACTGTGACCCAGTTTAAAAGGTATTAATAGATTAAGCCGCGCGGAGTGGCAGAAAGAGACGAAGCTAGAGTGATGTGGAGCGATGTTAAGTCAAAGCCAAAAGTCGTTGCAAGTTGCAACATGCCACTCACACACACACCCACACCCACACACACTGACTAAATGGAAAACTAATGTAGTTAGTATTTAAAGCTCAGGGCCAGATGTTAGCTGATAGATTTCAGCTATGCGATCTCGGAACTGTAGCAATTAATTATTAATTAGCTTCAGGCTCGAGTGACATCAACTTTCAAGGCCTTTAGGGCATTTGCTTGGTGATTCGCAAATGTGCATTGAAAATGCAGGTGAAGAGCTAAAATATATTATTCAACAAAGAAACAAGCCATGAACCATGTTCTAATGCAACTCGCTAATTGATACCTCTGGCTAGTCAAGAACTTTTAGAAATCGAAGTAATGAAGAATGAAAGATGTAGGATGATCAATGAAGCGAGCTGGCCCAGTGACAGCTGCATATCCTTGGCTCAGTCATAACAAGGCTATTGCCTATTAAGCCAGTCAGGTAGGTCGAAATGATATTTCGTACACTGTAATGATAAAAAAATAAAAACAACATTTTGTCAACAATTTAGCTAATTTTATTTTATTACACTTAATAGTACATTGTTGCGTATACAGCATAAAAATAATATAATAATTATAATTACATCTGAATTGCACAGCTAACATACATACATACATACATACATAGTATGTATGGTATCAGTAATACACTGCCTCTGCAAGAGTTGAAAATATATTTATAATAATTATTATTTATAATATTATTAGGTGAGCGAGAAATGAGAGTCTTACTTGATATCCTAATCAGCGGCATTTCTCCTATAAGCCCATAACTTCTCAATCATCTTGATAATTTCGCTGTAATCAAGAAAAAGTTAAGCAAATATGTTTAGTTGATCAGCTATTTGTGCTTATGTCAATAGAATTTAGATTCGTTTATTGTAAGCAAACATGAATTTTTCGCGAACAAATAAGCTTTGAGCACATAAATGACTTCTGTATGCACAGCTTGAGCACACATATATATATATACGCTGGATTCTGTGTACCCCTTTAAGCTGTCGCCAAGCTTAAGCTGCGCTGCGTGGCAAGCACCGGAGGCGAAACGAGCGAGCGACCAATTTGCAAACTACCGCAAAGGAAATGAGTTTCTTTTTTCAACTGGGTGGCAATAAGCATAATAATAACCAGGTGCACGTAGAGCCACAGCAGCAGCAGCTTCACGCTGAACGCTCAAAGCGTTAAGTGGCTTTTGTGTAATCTGCATGACAATAAGGCATATGCCGAGCGCTGAGCGCTGAGCGCGTCTCGCGTGCTGGGCTTCTCGCCTTTTTGGCCAACAACTTGTCGGCCAAACTAAAAATTTATAAACATATACAACAGTTGGTGCTCAAGGACATGTTGGCTGTGCTGTTTTAAGGCCCACAACGCTGGCAATTAATAAACACTGGCAAAACATGTGCTAGTTGCACGGGGCGTATACGCAATATTGGCAGTGGCACGTGCCGCATATAATGAGCAGCAGCGCAGTGACACGTGTGCCACATGTGTATTTTTATACGAGTCTGTGTGCGTGCGTGTGAGGTGTTTGTCTGCCTGTTTGCCTGCCTATCAGAGCGATTCGCATTAATCATTTTGACAGCCAGCTTAAAAAATGAATTAAATATCGCAAAAAAATAAGAAAAAATCGCCTAAATATTAATTGATTAATTGGGGTCACAATTAATTAAAGTAATCTAAATATATTAGTTAATGAATACATATAAATAAACTTACCTTCTATTCATTACTTGCAGCGCTTGATTCGATCCTTTCAGCTCTGTGCACTTTACAGGTAAAAATCTATTAAAAAAAAACAAATGTTTTAATTTGTTTGTATAAATTTGCATGCAACTTTAAACTACAAATCAAAGTAAAAAAACTCATTAAACTTAATATATTAAGCTGACAACTAATTCTAGCTGTAAGCTGTGATATTTTGTGTTAAATTGTGATTGATGTGAAAACTATTGTAATTCTTAACGTAAACTATTGCCCTTTAAACACACAATTTCTTTGTGTCTATCTCTCTGTCTCTCTCTCTCTCTCTCTTCTCTTTCTTGTGTGCCTTCACTTTCGTTGCATCAGTATTGTTCAACTTGATATAAAAATTAAAAAAAAATTCCCACTGGCCCAATGTGCATTTAAAGCAAGAACGCAACATAAAAATTCTAATTGGAATATTCGGTATTGAAAACTGATAAGAAAAAGGTCGGCAATGGCTCCATTTAAGCTCAAGTTTCGCATGGGCAGCTCACGCAGCACAAGCACATCGCAGGAGCATGATCCAGATCCGACGGTGAATGAGGCACTATTAGGCACACAGCAGCAGGAACAGGAACATCATCAACAGCAACAACAGCAGCAACAACAGCAACAACAACAGCAGCAGGCTGTTGGTGCGAGCAGTTCCACAATTGATTCAGTGGATTGCAACAGCCTTGGTTCAATGAGCGAACGGAAGCTGTTGTTGCCTTCAAATTCAAATAAAGCTGTCAATAATACCAACAGTTTGCGTATGGGTAAGAATAGGCTAAAAAATACCAAGAAATCTTTATACAATCGCATTAAACACTCACACACACTGATTAAGCGCCATTTCTTTTAAATGTGATTTTGAAGCATGCCAGCACTATTTTTATGGCTCATTATTGCATTGAGGCGTTCATTATTTACGCGGCAATTGTAGCCCAAACAATTTGGAAATTCTTATTGTTTGCAAAAGCACAATGCATGGCTCATTGAAATATAGCACAACAATAAGCCCTGCTTACACTAAAAGTAATTGACGTTTCTTAGAAGGCTTATTCATAGAAAAGATTTTTTAATTTTTTGTTAAAGAAGACTATTTCTGATTCAGCGTTTTGTTTTTTAATTTGCTCTTCTTAAACTCAGGGCTGCAATTAAGAAAAATGAAAATAGCTTACAATTCGAACCAGTTCCAGCTAATGATCCTAGCTCTTTGAGGCTGAACTAATAAATATTTTTAACCAAGTTCAGTTTGATTTGAGTTCGGTTCATTGAAAGGAACGAATTGAAATTTAAATTTAGAACCAGTTTGTCCTAAGAACCGCTTGCAGCCTTGTTTAAAATATACAATGGTAATTGAATGATTTATTTATATTATCTACATGCATATCTGATTATTTATTAAAGTCAAAGCCCTTGACATAACGCTCACCTCTTTCAAGGCATAGAATATTTAATTTGAGTGTATGCAGAGCTTGAAAATTTGCATGACATCCCTCTGCCGCTTCACCCAACCACAGCAGCAAAATCAATAATAAATTTTATGCAATTTGTTTGTTGAAGTTTGCTAAACCCTATTTCGATTATCTTGCAGGCTATGTCAACCCGAGTCGCACACCGTGCATCAGCGCAACAGCAACGGCAGCGGATAGCAACAACGTGCCTACCACCCCGCCGCCCACTTATGAGTATGTCCTAGAGGAGGTAAGTCGAGGTTGAAGGAAATAGAAGAACATAAACTGATTAGGCTTAACACACACAAACGCAGAACACACGGCTCTCGCAGCACCAGCGGCAGTTGTCGTCGGACAACAGTGCCACGCCCAATCAAAACAGTCGACGCAGCTCGGCGAACAGCTCAAGACAGAGCGCTGCTCAGTTGAGCGCCGCCCTGGAGCAGCTGACCCTAAATGACAGCAGCAACAATAGCAACTGCAATAGCGACAGCGACAGCAACGACATTTGCAACGATCCAGATTGCCAGCAGAACTACAACAACGGCGGCAATTGTGGCAACAACAGCCGCAACAACAACAACAATAGCAACCAACATAACAACAATAACAACAACAACAACGAGTGCGAAGAACTGGATCAACTGGAACAGCAGGCCCATTCGCCGCGCATCATTGAGGGCGTCACCGAGCTGGAGCTGGAGAACAGCGAAGAGTGCACGCTGAGCGTCAACGAGTTTCTATTGGAAACCGAAATGGCAGCGGCGCGCGCCAACAAGGATAATCTCTATGCCGCCTGCAGCGATGTCAGCAATGGACAACAGCAGCAGCAGCAGTCGTGCACAGATGCCGATTGCACAGAGTGCAGCGAGCAGGCGGCTGCCTGCGGACACATCGGCCTAGAATCTGAGGAGGATGGCGAGGAGCCGAGCACCAGCAATGCGGCACGTCACAATTTCTATGATCCGCTGCTGAACCGCTATGGCAACGAGCGTAAGCGTCCATCCCTTTGTCTTATCACAGAATTCAAATTAATTTTCACAATTCCAGCTGGTTGCTCAAATGGCGCTGTGTCGGGCAACAATACACAATCCTGCAACGAGGCCTGCTGTGCACCGGGCTCGGGCTCCGGTTCGGTTGCCTCTCGAAGTCGTCGCGGACGCCGACAGCAGCAACAGCAACAACAGCAGCAGCAGCATGAGCAGAACTGTCTGCTAACGCCGGAGATGATGAGCAACAAGACCTCCAAGGAGATCTACAAGGATCTGGCCAAGCAATGGGGCATCACATGCAAAATGTCTGAGAGCTGTCGCTGCATGGACTGTCAAAGTCATTATTTCGATTGCGATTACGATGATGTAAGCATGGGGCTAATGAATTTTATGTTGAGCACATCGAACTTTCGTTAAATCTAAAAGCCGTTTCAACATTTTATATCTTTTTTAATATTATTGTTTTCCTATTTCTAACCAATTTGATTCTATTCCATTTCAGAACGAACATCAGAAAACCGATGGAGGCTTGGGCGCTGGCACGCCCATGTTTATTAGCGAGGTGATGCATGGATCTGGCTGTCAGATATTGTAAAGGAGAGAGTTTTTTGTTTTCTAATGCCGTAAGAAAAGATTGCTGAACCAAAAACAAAAATGTTAAATGTAAATGCAAATTGTTTTTTCAAGACGAAGCCAAATGAGAGATAAAGTAGGCGCAGCAACAATGAGATGTTTGGCATAAAACCAACTCAATTCGATGTTAATTTGCACAAAGCGAAGTAGGAGATTAAAACGTTGCACTGCTTAGGCTGAAATATTCAATTAAACAATTATTTGTAGCCACAAATGTTGGGCTCTAAAAATTAGAAAACTAACGCGTAAGACGATGACATCTAAATTCAAAAGAAAAACACATATATTTTTGTTTGGTGTTTGAAATATTGAGAACTCTAACTAAATGCATTTTGTTTTTATGCTAATTTTCTAAAAAGAAAACTTTTGAAAACCCACCTTGCAAGACAACATTTATGAATATCCTTAAATGTGTTCCATTTTTCGAGTCAACATTTAAAAGAGAATTATATAAATATATATATATATAGATATCTGATTTGAATTGAACTTAAAAACTTTAACTTCGAAATCCGAGCTTGTCAAGAGTTTTTCGCTTCAATTTTCAAAAACAAATGGTCAAATTATAAAGTAAATCGGCTTTATATATATTGTATTGAAAAAGAGAAGTTTGTATGTATTTTTCTATGCGATGAAGAATTATGTGTAGCTGGCAAATCGAAAGCGAATTAGAAATGCAAAAGTAGGCAACTGCAGCAGGCATTCCCGTGCCCTAGGAACACGTATATATAGCCACATATATATATACCCAATATGATTATCATTATCAAGAAGAAGAAGAAACCAAACTTAACCATAGATAAGCACTTTTGTGCTGCGAACAAGGATCGTACGTTAGGATCGAATTAATATAAAAAAAAAAACAAGAAAAGAAAAACCGAACTAGAATTCTGCCTTATCAAGGCGAAACAAAGTTAACTTTTATTACGAATATGCTGATATTTTTCAAACGAAACGCAAATGTTTAGTCTGATATTTTGTATGGTCTCGTTATCTTTCATTATATTTCCCTATATACAAATATAATATATATATATATTTAATTTTGCTGATGCAGCGAGAAGCATTTAGAGCCCCCCAACCTAGGCACACAGATTACAGAACCTTAACTATGTTCCATACTAACTAAGCAAGCGGGTTTCATTCGATTAAAATCCAAATCTAAAAACCACAAAAGCCAATTTTACTTGCATTACTCGCGCAGAGATCGAACATAAATAAATATATATATATATATATTACTATATATAAATATGAAAATCGAAAGGATAAATCGAAAACTATTTGTTTATAACTCGTAAATGTAAAAAAAAAATCAGAAAACCCCGACTAAGTCTGTTAGCCGTTAGTTGATATTAATTAGTTAATACTTTGCTTATGTATCAATCGAACTAGACGAAATTAAAGATTTAAAGAGTAAAAATTAAACAAATTATATACATACACAAATTTCGAGGAATTCCACCCGCTTGAGCAATTGAGATTGTAATACTCTGATTTGGATAGATGACAGACAAACTAAAAATTGGGTATGTAAAACGTTATGAGAAACGGAAATAGGCAACAACAAAATAAATAAATACAAATATACATACATACACGCATCCAATATGAAGTGCTAAAACTCCATTTGGCTTCAACTATCATCGCCATGATTCTGGAAAAGCAAATATATATATCAAATCCAACTACCAGTATTATTGATAGTGCTTACGCTGGGAAAGATACGTCCGGTATTACTGCATAGATACCGATAGCTGGAACTGGCGGAGGCATCATATAATTCACACTCGCTGACTGGCTCCCCGTTCTTATATATATAAGAATCGAGCCTATTGTTGAAGTCGTAATGGCAGGTCAAAAAGTAGCAATAACTGCTCAAGACATGATGGATTATGCAGCCCATTATATTAGATTATATCTATATAGCATACCTTGCTATCTTCATACACTTTGTTCCTATTGCGATGGAGCAACCCACTCTGGAAACTCTTTCATTCGCTATCAGCAAAAAGTGCCCAACGGTCGTAAAACTGCAAGAGATCACACATTTCAATCACAATTCGGACTCTTCGAATATTGATATACAAAAGATAATATAATTCAAAACTGTATAAAATATACTTGACACTCCTTGCAAAATTTATAGACTTTATCTTTAAAGATGTGCGAGAAATAATTTAAAAACTGCATTTCGATCACGTTCTAAATCGATAGCAATAAAACGGGAACTGTTATCGATTACTTGCGCGTGCTACAGACGGACCTACCAAAAGAGTCAATTTCAAATCGATTGCTCTTATAGGTTCTAAGATCGTCGTAAGAGGACTCAACTCGTCGTCCTGATCAACAATATATATAGTTTATGGGGTCTGCCAATATACTTTTTCAACAGTTCGTGAACGAGCATAGAAATGGCAAATATTGAGAGTTAGAAATACTTGGAGCTTACGTGATAAAGTCCAGGTCATTGGGAACGCTAGCAGGATCATCAATCAATAGATATTCGTTAAACATGCCCAATAAGGTAGCATCCAACAGGTCAGCAATTGTACTGAGTTTACCCGTGCTGAAGGTCATGCTTAAGTTTTCACCGACATTCCGAAACCGCTGTACGGAACGGCATAGTGAGTGCTTAAAAGACACCGTCTTGGCATGTATGCGGGCCGTATACGCCAGTTCCATATCCCAGATGAGTTCACGCATGCGGCTTGCCGGCGGAAAGGTTTGGTTATTAGCAGCAATCAAGAGGCCGCTGGCCACTCTATTGCGAAACTTATTATGGTACTCCAGTATCAGATCACGCAAAGCGTACGTATCCGGCATGGAGAGCAGCAGTGTGGTACGATTAAACAATGGTGGCTACACTCATAAGACGACGATAATCAACTATGGCCCTTGGAGTCTCTTTCACACTTACCAGCTCTGCCTCCAAGCTGCAAATGAAATGCTTACGGATCAATGGTGCACATATATTTTCATTATGGTCACAGTAATTGTAGGCGTTGGCAAGCGGCCAGTTTTGCAGCTGCAGTAGCAGCACCACCAGGAAAAATAGTTTCATTATGACTAAGAATTTGGATATAGTTAAGCGTTAAAGACGTTAGGATTCCATCAATAATCAAATTTTTAAATTGTTTAAACATATATATAAATATAACTATAACTATAGATATTAATATTTATGTATATAAATATATAAATATATATATACATTTATGTGAATATGTATATGTATATGTGTATATTTATGCAATGAAATTCTAGTGAAACATTATGCAAAGCTTTCAAATCTAATTTCCTTATAATTTGTACAGCCAGAGCTTATTGAAAATTTAAGTATAATTTTATTAAAATAATGTACCAGACAGAAGAAGGCGTGGCTAACCCCATAAAGCATATATATTCTTGATCAGGACAAGGAGTTGAGTCGAATTAGCGTGTCCAGCTCAGGGTCTATAAGAGATAGACTTTTTTAGATAGACTTTTTTATCGATACACAATGTTATCGAAATTCAGCTTTTAAACTATTCTCGTACAGCTTAAGAGCTAGAGTCTCCAAATTTTGTATTTAGTTATATGTAACTAGTTTTGTTACAAATGTTATCAACTACAAATTTCCCCTAATTCTGTTAAGTTCAGTTGGCCAACATATCAAGGAGTTTGCAGTTCTACTAAATTTAAAAATATTCCTATAGAATAAGTAGATCAAATGCTGAACATTTCAATGAAATCCGTTAAGTAGCACGTGCTGCCGAGGTGATTCGAGTTTGAGGTGCAATTCCGTTTTTTTTGTCATTCTTTTTTGGACAAATAAAGAATTATTATAAGTTCATTCAAGATACAAGCTATGAATGATCGGGATTCGGGGTATTTCCACGTCGGGCATCCCCGACCAGAGTTTTCTTAATTATTATTTCTTTTTAATTTTAGCTTGGGAGCTAAACTTTTTGTTCTTCTAGGCAACATATCTTGCAAGTTATTTGTTGTTAACATTTTATTTATATGTTTTCCCAACTTTACAAAATTTGCCAAAGTATTTAGTAAAAAGTCGGATTTTATAAAAATGATACAAAAGAGTAGAAAAACATATATATATACACTGGAAAATTTGAGTTTTTAAAACCGATGTCATAGGTTATAAGAAACGTATGTGAATTGGATGCTAAGCAAAAAATAAATAACTGTTTTTATATATTTTGCATATACTACTCATCATCGTCATCTGAGCGCGTAACGACTTTGGAATCATCCTGAAAATCAAAAACAAAAACAGAATCAGAATTTTGAACCAGGTGCTGTGATGGTTATGGTGGTCGAAGGCTTACTTTGGCAAATATTTGTCCGTTATTGGTACATAGATTAAGATAATTCCTGCTGGGAGTAGTATCAAAAGCGTTGCAACCTGAGCACGGTCGGCCACGCTTATATATGTACTCGCCGGCAACATTGTTAAAATCGTAGTGACAACACAGAAAGTAGCAATGGCTAAAAAAAGAGTTGAATAGACTAAAAATAAGTTGGGCAATTCAATGGAATGTCATGTTCACCCCGCTGCCTTTGTAGTGACACAATGTGTGGCTATGGATAGGGAGCAGCCCACTCTTGAGACGCGATCATTCACCATAATCGTAAAGTGGCCTAAGCTCTCAGGATGCCTGCAGGAAACGTAGAGTATCAATTCGATTTATCAGTTAGTATCTGCATCGCACTTACTGCATAATATCGAAGTAGTCAACAGATTTTTCGGGATCCGCAATATCCTTATACTCAAGGAACATATTCTTTAGTGTTAGGTTCAGCACATCGCGTACTTTTTGGTGTTTCGTTTTGTTTGTAAAAATCAAACTCAAATTCTCGCCGACTAGTGGAAAGCGCTTCACCGAACGGCAGACCGTATGCTTGAAGGATAAGCTCTTGACATGCATACGCGACAAATACGCCAGCTCCGAATCCCAGACGAGCTCGCGCATGCGCCTGGCAGACGGAAAAACGATACCGTTCTTATTGACCAATAGGCCGCTGGCCACAGCATCGCGAAAGCTGTTATGATACTCCAGTATCATGTCACGGAATACATAAGTGTCTGGTATGATGGCCACCAGCTTGATGAAACTATTCAATGGACGCTACAAAGAGCCGAATGGAAAAGCCATTCAGTCCTCAGCAATATAGACTCTCACTTACCAGCTCGGTTTCCAAACGACACATGAAGTGCACCGTATTGGCCATTTCGCAATAGCTGGTCGCATTCTGGCAGTAGTTGTAGGCGAAGGCTTGCTGTAGCCGCAGCAGAAGCAGCGGCAGCAGCAGCTGCAACAAAGCAAACATATTCAATTCAATTTATAAAATAATTGTCTTAATATAAGATTAGCCGAAATCAAAAGAAATATTTGGTACTTTGTCAATTTATATTAATATGTGAAGAATAAAAAAAAATATTGAAAGACAATGCAAAGATGTCAAGTTTTTATACCCTGGACCCACTGAAAATGGGTGTTCATTATACCCTGACTTTGTGAAAATACAGAAGGAGGCGTGCCGGAGCAGGACGACGAGCGTAACTGCTTTCAGCTTTACGATAACCGGCTTACTCTTGCTGCCTTAGTGACCTCCCTTATATATCCACGACTTGGGGCAACTCAAAAGTTATATATTCGTCAAATTTCAAGCGGCTTATCGACTCAGTAGATTAAATAGTCCATCGACCGATCTGAACTTGGTATGGGTATGTCCTAGTCGGGCATCCTTGACTGGAGCTTCTTTCGTGCTTGATTTTCCATCATTTTTTCAATTTTATTTATTTATTAGTATCTGCTTCGCATTCAGTTAGACACGTCTTAAACATGCATAAAGCCTGAGGCATTCTCAATGCCATACTTATTAAAATTATTAAAATATAATCGAATATACATAGTATGAAAAAGTATAGAAAAATAATGCAAGAATCTCATGTTTGTTAAATATTTTTTTCTCAATTTTATTTTTGGAAAAGTTTTTTTAGTATTTATTATTGGGTTTTGTAGGAAGATTTTTTGCCTATAAATTCATTTTGGTTTTGTTTTAGTGTTCAATATATTTTGTATGTAGTTTGTTTAACATTTTTCTTTGTTTTTCTTTTTATTATTTAGTTAGTATTTTAGCAAAGTTGAAAATCGAATTTTTTAACTGTTGATTGTATTCGGCTTTTGCCTTTCTTCTTAAATATTTCTTTTCTGGTAATATCAACTGATATCATTTGAACTACATATCGTCTATATGCCAGGGCGCAATAAATAAACAACGCATCAAAATAAATCACTGACTTTTGCTACTTAGTACAACGTCTAAACAAAAGGTACTTTGTTTTCGTTCTTTTGTTTTTATAAAAAAATATGATATTTATCTTGTTTTGCTTAGGGTTTTATTTAACATTTTCATTCTTTTTCTTAGCAACAATTAACAAACAAATTAAGTTTTTCTTTTACTCGTATTGCGTTGGGCGTTGGGTGGGCAAAAACCAAAGATTTTGTGGTACTTTACATATATATAGTGTAGGTATATACACACATTATATATATATACTCATGCATAGTTGCTGTCTCTCACTCTTATTGCATATAATATTTGTTTTTTTTTTTTCAAGGAGCTGCTAATAAAATAGAAGTTTAAAACGTTTTCAGTACTACTTTAATTTCTGTTTTGCGGGTTTTTCCATATTGGTTTAGCTCGTTCAAAGTTGAATTGATTATATTGTATAATTAGTAAAGGTATTTATTAAAAGTTAGTCTAGTATACAAGAAATATATATATATATATATATATATATATATATATATATATATATATATATAAATATATATATATATTTATATTTGTTGTATATATTAAATGTAATTTGGCATAAACCACAAAATTTACAAAGTTTTTTCTAAGGTTCATTCATTCACACCTATACAATACAGTAACTACTTATACTTAGCGTTAAATACACTCTCTCACACACATACATACGTCTTATACCAGGTGTAGGCACATCATTTGCAACAAAAACCGCGACGCCCACAACAAATGGAAACAAATCTACAATCTAATTAAAGCATGTGTACACAAGTCTAATCGAGAACTTAAAATTGTAATCGATAATAATAATATTCATAATATTACTTATTTATAGATAACATATGTGTAATGTATTTAGTTCGTATGCATGTATATATACAAAATGCTAGGGATTGTGATTGAAAACGTAGTTGCTATAAGACTAGAGAACTTCCTATAAACATGCACGCAGTTTTGCAATGAATTTCGTATAAAAAATATATAAGTTCTGTATGTAGTTGTATATATCCAAAACTCTTTCCATATATCACTTGCGTGGTGTACAGCTTTCATACATATGTATATATCGGAAATACATATATATATAAACATATTCATATTGTTGCATAACTTAGACACAGGTCGAGGATGCATGAGACACGTTTGCAGCCGCTTCCAGATTGAAATCCTTGCTGTGACAGCACATCTCGCAGATGCGTTTGGTATCAGGATTCAGGAACGTGCATACGCGACAGCTCCATTCATTGGGACTAGTCACAATCACCTGAGTGGATACAGGCGGCGGATGCTTGGCCACAGCGCCTGTTGCACTGTTCCTTCCACTCCGCGTGCCTCCACCTGGCCGGCTGTCTATGGTGGCTGTCTTTAAAGCAGATTTTATTTTCTTTACCCCTGGGGTGCTGCTGTTCAGCGCGGGCGTAGGTGCTGCCGCTTGGACGGCACGAGGCTCACGCTTCTTTTCCAGCGTGCGTGATTTCTCCACAGCCCCGGCAGGGGCCTGAGTGTGAGTCTCAGTGCTGCGCCGCTTATCGGCAGATCCACCTGCACCACCATTGGCCAAGGTGAGCGAATCCAAATCCAAGCTCTGCACAAGCAAATCCTCACGATCACCTAAATCTTTGGAGTAGCCAGAGCGTTCAAGGTTCTTGAACACATAATTCCATGACTCGAAACTGCCAACGCCCTCTTGCACTTTAGGCATCAACGGCGGCGATGATGCGGTGCTGAGAACCGTAAAGTCATCCATGCTGGGCGATTCGTAACTAGTGGTGCCATCGGAGATTTGCAGATCACGCTCCCGCATATGCTGCCGTCCATCTGCTGCGCCGGCGGTCAGACTCATGCGATCCCTCAATTCCTTGTGCATCGTTTTGCGATTATTGTCCAGTGAATTCTAAAATGGAAAATAAGTTAGAAACGCAAAAGAAAATGGCTTTCCGGCCAATAAGTTGCTTATATTGATTGCTACTCTCATTTACCATCATTGGCTCCCGATGTCTGTCCGTAGGTTTGTCGACCGACTCCACCTGATTGCGCATCCGACTACTCTTGGGCACGGGCTGTGCATACACATACATGTCTTGCGGCGTTGGCTGGGGCAACGTGGTTGGCAGCATAGGAGGTACCTCATAGCCACCAGCATATCCCATAGTCATAGCATCCCGCGGCTGGGCATACATAGTGCTACTCATTATGCCATGCTTGGCCGTCTGTGCACGCTGCCCTCTTCGTTCGTAGAGCCGCGGATCATTAAAGTCATGCTGCATCAGCTGCGCCCGTTCATCAAAGTCAATTAGATGATCCTGCGGATATGTGCTCTGTCTATGCTGCATGGCCGCTAAAGTAGCAGCAGTGTTTGGCTGATGTCTTGGCGGTGCAACATGGTAGCCACAGGTATGGGGCACCGTTGCCATTGGCTTGCTGGCTATGCTGGCATACATATTCACATTGCTCGGCTCCGCATTGACATAGCTATCTAGGGGCGCTGCATAGGGTGAATTTAACTGACTGGAGATGTTGTAGGGCAGCGGATAGCGATTGCCTGGCGCATTATAAGCGCCAGCGACAGCTGCATATGAAGCGCTGCTACCCAAACTAAGCCCATCCAAACAGTCGTATGGCGTCTCATACAAATGTCCGTGTTGTGGATGCAATGCAGCGCAGTCTTTGGGATGCTGATCAAATGAGTGGCGATGCGGTAACGTAGCATGTGGCTCCTGATAATGTTCCAAACTGCGCGAATGCGTCATCAATGCGCCCTGCGGCTGCTGATACATATAATTGAGATTCGTGGGCGGGATTGATTGATGGATGGGCGCATGCAACGCACAGCTATTCGGATTGCTATTGCTAGGTCCATGCAACGCACAGGAAGCGGGCGGTGCAGTCAGCTTTTCCACTGAGCAACTGTCGCAGCGTGTAGGTGCTATATTGCTGTAGGTATTCTCCGTGTTAAGTTGTTGCTGCTGTTGCTGGAGCTGCAATTGCTGATGCTGTTGCTGCTCTTTGCGCAGCCGCTTCTCAAGCAGTCTATAAGCCATTTCCTTAATGGTTTGTGATGCGCCGCCCACGTGTCGTTCCCGGTAGTGGAATATATCCTGCCAGGTGCAGCTGAAACCCTCGGCACTCAATCCCGCATAAATGTGTTTCATTATTTGGCACTCCACATAGGCGGCCATTGCATCGCGACTGACATTTGTCACCTGATCGGGACAAATGGGTCCCTCCAGCACAAATGTGTCCTCGGCAATACGACGATAACCCATGGCCAGAAACAACCGTTCAGCATCGATCAAATTCGAGTCCACTTCATGCTGATACGAACCGGAGTAGGTCTGTAAATAAAAAACCCCGATTAGCTCTGAGAGCTATTGAAATATGCTGCACCAGCTTACTTTGAGCGTGCGAAATTCCTTGCGCCAGCGCTTGGTGAACAAATTGTTTGCATATTGACTGATGGCCTCGAAGCCAACAATCGCCTTCTGTGCCGTGAATTCATTTAGCTCACAAACAGTTCTACGCAGCACATGCCCCGTTTCCGGCAAAAAGAATTTGCGATCATGCGGCACCACGCAAAGAAACTCCTTTAGGCAAGCTATCAAAGTAAGGATAAGCAAATTAATATTATACTGCAAATCGAACTAGCAACGGTTCTTTATAGTTAAGAGACAGCATATCAGATTGGGCGAATTCTCTGTATATTTGAATTATTTACTCACCCTCAACCTTTTTTCGCTCCTCCAATTTCTGTGGGCTTTCCTCGGTTTCAAGAAACGTCCAGTGGCGTGTCAGTATCTCGTCCCATAAATCGCAGGGTACAAAATCTGACATTGTGGCGTGGCGTGACATGCAGCAACGCCAAGGACACTCATTCAATGCAACGGATGCTCCTGCAAGCAAGCCAAAAAGTGAGAAAACCCAAGGAAAAACAATGAAGAGTGCAAGAGAAAAAAATATATTTAGTTATATATACATACTTAACTATCTTTAAAGGAACCTATAAACATTAATATTTAATTTACTTTATAATAATAAAAATGTATAAATCTAATCTAATATATATATTCCTCATAGAAAAACGAGATTTCTCTTATCAAATGGACTTTAAAGACTGAGAAAATAAAACAAACAAGCAGGCGGATCGACCGACAGACCAACATGCAGAGATTTGTTAATACTGAAATTTTATATATATTTAATTTTAGGATATCTGGAAAAACGTCTATGTACTACACGTGACATGACGTAACTATTATAGCCCCCTCCTCTATGCCTGTCAGTTTACAAAAACGAATTCAAGGCTGCATCTTCAAAGCAAGACTTTTATTGATTTTAAAAGCAAATGCTCTTAACAGCTAACAATTACGAGCAACTGCACATTATATATGTATACATCTATATATATACATATATGTTTGTTGGACTAAAGCCCAATTCCGAGACCCCACTTCAATTGGCCCAGTCGTAATGCAGAATCTGCCCAAATGGCTGGCATATGAATCACAAGCAAACGCATGGACGGAGAACAAAAAATGCCATCCGGCATGACGCACGTTCGAGCTATCAGAACAATATACAACATATACATATAAGTATATATACAGATATGTATGTATATAACTATATTTATTTGACAACAACAAAAACAATATCAACATACGCTGATAAGAGTAAACAATGGCAACATGTTTGCTAGCTGTGGCCCGCCTTTGGCTATGGCAGCCATATCGATAATGACTGTTAGTTGATACTTATCAAGAGACTTTACTAGAGCCGCAACCCCAACCACCCAACTACTCACCGCAAACCGAGCAGAGGGAAAACAGCTGAGGACCGGCATGTGCAATCTACGATTAGATTCGCTTACTAAGCCCAATATCAACAACAACAGCTTGGTAAATCAATAAAGCGTTTGCTTAATTGTCTATATATATGTATATGTACATATATATATAGCTATGAAGCTGCAATTGTCAATTGGGTTAGGTGAGTAAATCAATGAATAAATAATTATATGTCGATTCAGATACAAGCAAAACAGCTTAGCAACTACTATAATTCACACTCAACAAATTAGGGAGGCGGCACGTGAGGGGAATTCTATATAATTGACAGTTGAAAAACCTGAATACTGATTTATTGTGTTACTGAGCAATAATAAATGATTGCAATATAATAATAATAATAGAATTATTCCAATTTTGAAAGATCTTTAGGAAGTAGGAAATTTCTCATTAATTAGTCATGTACCATACATATAGTCAGATACCTCAACAATTTTCAATTTCCAGGGGTATTTGCAGGTGTGTTGTAACTTAACTCGTTGCAGTAGACAAAGCCGTTGAGCTTTGCACAGCTGCTTGAATAGCTGATAACTGTTTTAAAAGTTTATTAGTCACCCGGTAGCAACAACAATCTACATATTTTATTTGCAAATCAGCGACTGGCATCTTGACTGAAACAGGGCTGGGCTGAAAGGGGGAGGCAGAGGAACCATAAAAGTTGGCGCTGCAGTTTCATGGTGACAAATTCAATTTAAAGCGAACGGAATAGAGCGCATCGGATGAAGATGAAGAGTGAAGGTTAAACACAGAGTTGCAAAGTGCTTTGGAGCTTATAAACCCTGCTGAAAGAAATCTTATTAAAAAGGGGTTTTTGAATGACTTCTACAGTACCTAACGCATTTTTAATTAAATGAAGCCACAAAGTTGATTGGCAGCTAAAATGCCTGTCAAAGTTGGCTGCACATTTAATAAGTCGTTGAGACAAAAAGAAAACAATGCAACTTTTAATTTGTATATTTTATGAGGCCAAGCAAAGTGCTGCCGCAGAGCGAAAGAGACAGCGAAAGGGCAATGGTTGCAACTTGAAACGTGAGATGGGTAAAGAGCAAACAGCAACAAAACAGAAAAACTATAGAAAGTGAACGGTATAAAATTCAAGCGTATAAGATCGAGCGAGAGAGGTATAGAGTGAGCGCAAACAATCGTCAAAGAAAGGTGGAAAAACACGCAGCAACAGCAGAAGAGATGGTAACAAAAGCCTTTGAAGTAACACTGTAAAGCCAAGTGAATGCTGCACAGAACAACACCAACGACAATAAGAAAGAGCCCAAAGTCTGCAGCAGTGCTGAACAACGCTGCAAAAAATCAATAAAAACTAAATGAAGTGCAAAACGAGCACAATAACAGAAAAAACAAATGCAAGCACATACATTTATACACACTCTCGCAGCCAACGGTCTGATCAGCTAGCAAACGTGAAAGTCACGAACTGTAAATTCCTCTCTCTTACACTGAAGCTCAACCTGAGCTTTTATACCCGTGCGTAAATAAAGAAACTACGCGCCGCATATGTGGGAGTGGGAAACAAGCAACTAGCTGAAGCTTTAACTGCGCCGTTAACTGTAAACAACGCAACTATGTTGTTTTTCTTGTTGTTTTTCAGCATTTCGAATGCTAGTGCAAATGAACATTAATTAACAACCCACATTGACATTGACAGCGTTCAGGGTGAACATTGTAGGCATCATGTGTGTAAAATTTTAAAATATTCATATTGAAATTACAAATCACTACAGAGCACTCCGATTATTGGCCATTTATTGATTTTGACGATTTGACCTAAGCGCTTGTGTGTACATGTTTGTACTGTCCCCTTTACTCTCAGCATTTATATATATATTTTAAAGTATTTTTTTTTCAATCTTGCTGTTGCGAGCATTTGGCGCAACAGTTTAAAGCACTCTTCTTGGCAAGGTGACAAAAATTGCGTGAGGATGTATGTGTATGAGTAAATGTGTATGTGCGTGTGTGACCCGTTAGTTCGTAGCCGGCAAAGTCTACGGCAGGGTGCTCCAATTCTTATTTTCAGCCCAACACTTGCAACACTAAATTTAGCAAAACACTCATACCCTCACACTTACGCTCACACGCACACATTCACAGCATCACAGAAAAGTTTACACCAGAAGAAGAAAAAACCGGAAATAAACTTACAGAAATTCCTCATCACTGTTGTTATTGCAATTTTTGTTGCCTTTTTTAATAATTTTGGGCATCATCTGCTTCGCTGTTAAAGTTAAACTCACAATATCCACTAAGGTTGCCGAATTAAGTGTGTTTTTTGGTGTGGGTGGTTAAACGTCTATTTTTAGCACACGAGAGTAGCAAAGCAAAGCAAAGCAAAACGACGTGCAAAACGCGAACAGCGAATGAGCGGAGGAATGCTTCCGCTTGTTGTTATTGTTTTAACACCAGCTGCCCACTTATCGATAGCGTTTGACTAGTAATGACCATTACTCGCTTATTCACTTCAGCAATTAATGCGTGCAAATATGAATTGTCGCGTTTTCCATTAGTTTTGGTTTGCACTTAGTAACAGATATATATTTTGTATTATTATTATTATTATGCGCTGCGTTGTGTTCGTGTCATTTTCACAGCAAACTAAACTTGATTGCTTAACAGCACTGATTTCATGCGAGCTTACAACACTGCCACTATCGATTGATATTAGTTTAAGTTATCGATGTATAATGGGCCAGGGCTGCAGTAAATGCACGCGCTCTGCTAAAAAGGTAAACACGAGATGGATTTTGATTTGGGATTTGCCGAAGAGCCAAATAACCCAGCTTGGCTAAGTAATCGCTACTTCCCCAGCAAATTAGGCGGCCAGCCGGCATGGCTCGAATTGGAAACGCTGCCAAGCGCAGCACAGCTGAAGTGCAAAGAGTGTCACTCACAAAAAGCATTTCTCTGTCAGCTTTACGCTGCTTTCGAAGAGGAGTTCAATTTCCATCGCAGCATATACGTTTTTCTGTGCAGGAACGCAGAATGCCAGCAGAATAACAAGGCTGGGTATATATAGACAAGTACTAAAATATATACAGATTAAAGTTTTACTATTATGCTTACCCAGAAATTTCACTGTGCTACGCTCACAGCTGCCGCTGAAGAATAAATTCTACTCAGAGCAGGAGCCCTCAGAGGATGGTGAGCCTTTGGTAAAAGGAAAACACATCACTTTGTTAGCCAACTGTTATATATGCTCCATATACTTGCAGTCCGCCATAGCCACTTCGAGGAAACTTTGCGCCGCATGTGGTTGCTTGGCTCCGCTTGCATGCAGCCGTTGCAAGAACATCAATTACTGTTCTAGCTCTCATCAGCGCGCACACTGGAAGCAACACAAGCCGAGCTGTGGCACTGGAAAGCCAGCCGCTGCCTTTACACCGCTTCCAGAGATTGAATTTCCTCTATACGAAATAGTCATGGAGCGTGAATCAACAAGTGAAGCAACTGAGAAGGATGAGCAAGTCTGCTTGGCCGAGTTTGAGGAGCTCTCTGCTAGTGGCCAAACGGGTGAACTACATGACGTATCCGAAAAGGAGCTGGATAAATACTTTGGCAGTGCAGCTGCAGCGGATGACAAGGCTTTTCAAAGCTTTAAGAAACGAATTGCAGCTGAACCCGAGCAGATTGTGCGCTACAAACGTCAAGGCGAACCGCTGTGGATAGCCAATGTGAAGGACACGATTGAAAGTCAGCTGCGGGAGTTGCCGAACTGTGCCCAATGTGGCGGTCCACGACAATTTGAATTCCAGATAATGCCGCAAATGTTAACGCTGCTCAAAGACGAGCATCTAGACTGGGGTGTATTGGCCATATACACTTGTGCGAGCAGCTGCCCCATTAGCGGCTATGTGGAAGAGCATCTGATTAAACAGGATATAGTAGACGCACCAGCAGAAGATGTGGCTTAAGTTGTTTGGGTTACAGTCTCTCCCTCATGTATACAAACCAATTTTATTTGTTAAAGGACGAAACAAAATTTAAGAATGAAAAATACAGTGACGATCTAAGACAATATGATTACAAATCGATGTTGACTACTTTAGTTTGATAATTGGAAAATAGCTATGCTTGCTGAAATCGAACTCTGGTTGACGCTTGAGGTCCTTCTGATGACCACGAGCTAGCACATTCATAACCACAAAGTTTGTGCGCGCTATTTGAAGCAGATCCAATATCTACAAAGATAGACAATTAATTCAAATTATTTGAAAGGGATAAGTAGATAAAATCTTGCCGATCACTTACTTCCTGCTCTGGATTCTGTATGCTCTCTAGCACATTACGGGCCTGATCGAAGTGTTTGGCTGCTAAGCTGTAGAGCTCCTCGACACTATTGAGCATCATGTGATCGCGTATACTCTTAAATTCAGCATAGGAAACAGGCGGCGGGCTAGTCAACGGCACAAACGGCGCGAAGCGTCGATTATAGCGTATTTCCTCATTATCGAATTTCGACATGGGCAGACGCACACGTCCGTCTTTGGTTAGTGCACCCATTGCTTTGTACATGCCGCCGCACAAGCTGAGCAGCGCATGATAGTAAACAATCTCCTGGCGATAGGGACGCTGTTGTTTCTTATTCTTTTTGGGCTTAGCCGCTTTGCGATTCTTGCTACCAGATCCGCTGCCACCGCCATTTAATTGAATTCTGCTTTGATGCTCGGCATATTCCTCCTGTGCCAGCAATATATTCTCGGTGCGCGTTAAGGCAGAAACCAAAAATCCGACTAGAAACTCGTACGGATACCAATAGATATATAGAAACTCATGCACAGCATACAGTTCCAGCTCAAAGCCAGACATCAAATATATAAGCATTGCACGAAAACAATTGTAGAGCACCCAGGTGGAGAAGTGTGTGCTGTGCTTTAGCGCCGTTGCATGCGACTCGTTGCCCTCCATGGCACGATCATTGGCCAGCTGGTTCATCAGTGAATCCAACCGAGCCGCATCCACCTGTAGCGGATCAAAGTTCTCAATTAGATGCGCCAGCTTATCGCGCTGTCTAGCACGATTAAAGCCGCACAGTCGTATAAACTGATTGAAGGTGTTCATATTGATGCAATAGCGAAAGAAGGTTTCCAAGTGCTGTTGCACCTTGGGATCGTTGGCCACCGGATGCTTGGCGTTCAGTACTGGAGGTGAATTAAAAGCCTGCACCGAATGTCTTAGGAATTGCTTCATCGACTGTTTGCCGTGAGCCAAGCGTATGCTCGAGCTGAAGAGGCTCTGAAGCACGCTGCGTGAGAGAATACAGTGCCCCGACTTACGGCTGTACTCAATGAAGAAGTTCTATAAACAAATAAATTAACTATTAATACATAACGATGAAGTTTCTCTTGATTGTTGTTACCAGCGCCGAGTAGTAGTCCTTGTATCTGATCACCTTGCAGGCATACTTAAAGCGTGCCACCATTTCCTCCAGAAATTGGTAGCTGGCGGGGCGTTCGCGTATTTTGATGCTGCGTGGAAACGTAGGCGGTTGGCTTCTGTCATGTATGCGCGGCGAGAAGCCCATGGGATTAGGTGCCTCAGCTGTAAAGTTAACAAAAGATTTCCTGACTCACTATACACTTCTATAGAAGCCCGCATACTTACAACCCTCCACGGGCTGTGTGCCACGTTCGATGGTGCGTTTGATAAGCGGTAGCAGCTCGGAAGCCACGTTCAGATTCTTATAAATCTCATTCACTGCCTCCTCGGCACTCTCAGCGCCCACCATCAGCTCCACTTGGTAGATGGCTTGAAACAAATGGCGCATAAAGCGCAATCGATGCACCACAGCCATCAAACTTTGATTCTCAATGGTCGTTAGTTGCTTGCACTTGCGCACCAGCTCATCCTCCACTTCCTTCAATAGACCCGCAATTGTTGAGGGTTGTGCCTTTTCCGCTGCCAGCAGCGCCGAATTGCCATACAATTGAAAGTCCTCTTCCTCGTTTACTGCAGCCAATATGATGATGTTTTTAATTACCACAATGAGATTGCGCACAGCGGTGCAAAAGACGCGCAGCGCCTTATCCTGAATCTGTGATGGGGCATGCAGATAGAGGCAGGTGAAGAGCACCTGATCCATTGAATTGCCTTCCAGCCAGGAGACCAAACAGGCAAACAGTGCATCAAAAATGCCAATCAGCTCAGCGGGCTCTAAGCCATCCAGCTTAATTGCACCCATCTGAAATGTAGGCAACGACGATGTTATGGACTCCTCCAAAGACATTTCCTACTCACCGCTACGGCTGCTTCAAAGGAGGGCGGTGGCAAATCGAATTTGTCAAAGCCCATGCCCACATCCATTTTGGGATCCATTATCTCTATCGCAGACATAGCCTCAAATAACCCGAACAGCATATCTTGGGCCAGCTCGCCGGGCAACAGCTCAGAGCATGCATCGTGGAACTCCTCCGTCACATCCACCCAACCATGTATGGGATATTGTGTAATGTCTTCGGCGGCGCTGCCACCGCGTATTGCACGTTGTACTTCGCTGTCCGCAAACCCACATTCACTCATGCTCCACTCATCAGGCTCATTGCTACTCTGCTCCCGTTCTAAGTCCCTTTGCTCAGCTGTTGTTCGCATTGCAGAGACGGAAGCAGAGGCAGCGGCTGCAGCAGCTGCCGCCGCTGCTGCTGCTGCGGCGGTGGCTGCCTGAAAATCTGTTGGCTGCTCGCTGGCGTAGGTTCCGTGCATTATCCTTTATCGCCCAGACGCTTGGAAAATAGTTGATTTTGTCAATTGCTATTACTTTTTGTGTTATAAATTGAGTCTTTTGCTTTTTTCTTGCCGTGCATCAGAGATTTTCAGCAGTGTTGATAAATTTAATGCATAGCGCACAGCACTCACCAAAGAGTATTTGACAGCACTGTGTTTGAATGGCGCCAAGCGCGTTATAAATTCAAACAATTTGTTAAAAAAAAATTAAACTGTTGAAAGCAGTCTAAAAGCATTCTACAAAAATATGCTTATAACTAAATTGTTGTGCTTATTACAATATCTATCTATGTATATTAGGTAAACACTCTTGTAGAATTTGTAGTGTGATTTCTTCACATTCTTGCCTTGCCTTGTCTTTAAGATTTCGTTCAGTATTGATGGCAGTGTTGATGAAGAGTATTTGAAGATCACAGTACTTACAAGCGTATTTGACAGCACTAATTTGGCGCCAAACACGGTTTAAATTCAAAGCACATGTAAACTAAACCCAAACTGTTGAAAACTGTCTAAAAGCATGCTACATAAATATTTCTCATACTATATTATGTATTTTGCTACAAGGGGCATAAATAGTATTGCATAATCTTTCTTAGTATTCATTATAGGCTTATTGTAAAATTTGGAGTATCATAAAGACAACATTTGACTTTTTCGTCATGCAGTCATTAAGTAATCTATATGAATGAATTGTAAATGCAGCACTTTTTATAACACGCTTAATTTTAAATATTAATGCTGATTATACAAAAATGTATATTTCTATATGTATATGAATCATATGGCTGACAATTCGAAGTTAACAATATTGCTCCGTATTCTTTTCGGTTGATAAGAAATAAAAACTGCCTCCAGTTTACTTATGAATGTTTGCTCAACAATTGTTATCGCTTTTAATTTGTATTTACTCATATGCCCTATAAGAACAATGACTAGTGCTGCCTTATCAAATGCCAGCAACTGTTATCGGTCGCGCTCCAATTTGAGTGGAAAGTGGAAAAGCTCGCTCAGAGCTCTGTCTCTCTCTCCCTTTCTCTCCCTCTCTCTCTCTCTTTCTGTCGCTCTGTCGCTCTCTCCGCGTTCGTTCTGAGCCCACAGCACGCTTTAGTTTGTCTCCACAATTTGGGGGTTGTCCGTGTTTGAGTGCTTCGAATGCCCAAATAACGGCAGAATTGAGTGGCGCAAAAGCATTTCACCAATGCGAGGGGTTGTATTAGTTTGTTTACAACAATTCGGTTTCAGTATCAAATGCGTTGCCCTCGTGGTTAAAACGCGCTAACGGTCAACCGCTAAAAAAATAAAAACAAAATAATAAAAAAATACACTTTATATCGCACAGGGCGCACAGATTTAAAAAAACTCGACAAAAACAAAAAGAAAAAAAAATAAAAAAAAAAAACACAAATCAAATACGAAGTGCCAAGTTCTGCAATAACTGCTCGACTTTCTTCAAGGAAGCAGCCGACCCATTTATTGGCCAACGCGTAAGTTTTTCTAACCCTCCTCCGATAATATGTGTTTTCTTTTTTAATTTATGTATATGGCTCATAGGGAAAATGTTTTGTTTTTGTTTTTCTTAACTGTAGTTTGTGTTTTACAATTTATTACCATATGTTTTGCTGTCTGTGTCGCTTTGACAAGTTCTAAAACAAAACAAAAAACCAAAACAAAAAAAAAACACAAAATCAAATATACGTATTTAAAGAAAAAAGAAAATAAAAATATCTGTAGCAGAACTTGATTAAATACGGCAAGAACAAACACGAAACAAAAATTACGAGACTTTTTGGCAAGCGACCAAATCAAATTATAAAAAAATTGTCTGACCCTATAAATACTATATATATATACACGACCACGACTGAACCAGAACAAAATACTATATATATTTTCACTTAAGAATATGCCAAATATTAAATATTTATAATAAATAAATTTTTATAGTTTAATAGCTTGCCTGACTAGACCCAAGCTTATTTCGAAAATATGTCGAAAATTAATATTTATTGTGCGAACATTTTTTAGATATTTTAAGTTTTTGAGCTAAGGAATCAACACAGCAGAAGGATATATAATATATTGAGTTTACATTAAAAAATAAGTAGAAATATTTTTGTAGACTTAAGTTCGAGAAATTTATATTCAAATTATAATACATTTGAATCGCCTGATTTGAAGAAAACATGGATTTATTAAAAAATAAATCTGTTAATATTTGTATATTAAAGCTTGAGTTAATTTTCTTTAATATACAAGAAAAACAAGTTGGCTGTGTAAATGATAGGCCAACATAGCAAAGATTCCTGTGACATTCTTAAGCGTTCGCCAGAAAGAAAAAAATTTGAAGCAGTTGTCAAATTGATTTTATACTATTAAAAAAATATATATAAATATATATTTATATATACATTTTTTACATTTATGTAAAGTTATATTTTTAAATTCCGAAAAAAAAAATATATATATATATAAATTTAGTGAAACATTCTAAAGTGTTTGACCTAAAAACTGTGCAAGCACTCGGAATTTAAATTATTTTTATGAATTACAAAAAAAGAAAACAACGGGCAATTTGCAGAGTTTGAGATTATCAACTATCAAAATAAAATTAAAAAGATTATAAAAAATGATAAAGAAAGTTAGAAAGATGGCGTTTTCTTATGAAAAGTATTATTCGGTTAATAATTAATGTACTTATATAAATATAATTCTAATCGAACCAGCCCATACCTTATCTAAACTACTCTATACCAGGCAAACAACGTGTGACAATTATTCTATGCTATCTATAGCTATAAAAATTGATAAGAAATTACTATTCGTCTCTCTTAGATTTGAAGTATTAGCAGAGGCTAACTTTGACAGCACAACAAGCCATTGAAATGTTAAATTTCAGATTTCAATTTTCGATCTGAATGGCTGAGCGTGCGGCAAGTCGTGACAATTGACCAAATTATAGATGTGTGGCACGCAGCCAGACGTTTTGTAGGTACACAGGATAACACACATAGGACATAAAATGTCTCCTCGACCACACAATGTAAGCAAAAATCCGCACGTACGCGATAAAAGCAATGAAAATCAAAGTCGTGTAGACGACACACGAAGCGAAAAGAGATGAGAAAAGGGCAAAGGAAAATCAGAGCAAAAAACTTACACATGGAATTCATTTCAATTGATTGAAGCGAAAGCCCCCAACGCTGACAAAGAACGAATTCCGAGAAGACCAAGACCAAGACCAAGCCCAAGTCCAACTCCCTCTTGCCCATTGCCACTGCATGGTGCTGCACTAATGTTGCGTATACGACCCCACAGCCCAGCTGAAGGAAGAGCAACAACTTACACATGGCATTTATATCAATTGAAAACAAACACAAAGCGGGGAGGTCTTAACTCTGATAAAGAATAAATTCCAGTTGCTCAGGCAAGATTCCAACTGCAGACGTTGATTTGGAATTTTGTATTAAAGTTGCGTATACGCCCCCAAAGCCCAACCGATTTTTCTTTGCCCCCTTTTTAGCCTTGCCTAGCCTTCTTCCTTTCCTCCCTCTTTTTTTGTATCGATTTGATTGGATTTCATGTTACGAGTTTGTTGTGTTTAACACGCTTCAATAAAGTTCAGCTCGAGGGAGAGAAAAAAAGTTAGTTGAATGCCTGTGCCCCAATACGCAGCCCCTTTCAGCTGCTTCCTTCCTTCTTGGCTCTGTGGCTTGGTCTACTTAATTGAATTCAAATGGATGATAGATGAGAAGGTCATGTGTGTAAGGGTTGTGTGTGTGTGCGAGTGTGTGTGTTTGTGGGTATCAAATAAAATGCAGACCTGGACAATTGGTAAATAGTATTAGTTCGGGTCGAAGGATTCAGACATGATTAGCTGAACTTGTCTAGAAGATAGAGAACTTGAAGAAAATATAACTAATTTAGCGAATTTGAAGGTTTATACGAGGCGAATATTTAGACTGGAGTATTTTATGTGCATGGAACCATGTTAATTAGAGAAGATATAATGATATAAAGATATAAAGATATAAAGATATAAAGAAATAAAGATATAAAGATAAAAATATAAAGATATAAAGATATAAAGATATAAAGATATAAAGATATAATGCTATTGTCAAGAGAGTAGGTCACTAGCCATTGTCATTATAATTGTATATTATGTATCAGAAGCACCTTTGTATGCGATTCTCATTGATAAATTAAATTTACATCAATTAGTAGAATCAATCTATTAATAAGTGAGAGACAAAGAAAGAGAAGAGAGAGAAAGATATAGAAAGGGAATGAGAAAGAGATAGAAAGAGTGAGCACGCGAGAGATATAGAAGACCGAGAAAGAGAGACCAAGAATAATAAATCGAGAGAAAAAGATAAATAGGAGGAGACAGAGAAAGAGAGAGAGAGAGACAGAGAGAGAGAGAGAGAGCGATAAAGGGGAAGAGAGAGTGCGAGACATAGAGATAGACTGAGAGAGAGAGAAAAGGAGAGAGAAAGAGCGAGTGCGAGAGAAAGAGATAGAGAGAGAGGGAGAGAGAGAGAGAGAATGAGAGAGTGAGAGAGCGCGAGAAAGAGAGAGACAGAGAACGGGAAAGGGAGAACGCCTCACAAGAAAGAGGACGAAAAAGAAGAAGAAACTAAGCAAAAGAGAAGGAAAGAGAAGAGAAGAGGTAAACTAAAGAAAAGAGAAGAGAAGAGAAAAAGAGAAGAAATTATAAAAAAAATCACATTTATCATGAACAATAAATTAAAATCAAATACATAAGAACCAAAAAATAGCAGAGACGCAGGCAACAACTTTGTCCAAATTGTAAAGAACTAAATCTGAGGAGAGCAAGAATTAAATCAACATTTAGTTAAAGCTACATGCCAGCTAAAAGTTGTTGAATAGAGAACAGAACGCAGAACTGCCATTTGAGTAATGCTTTTTGCTGGATAAAATATGCGCGCAGTCGACCAAAAGGCAGCTGAATGGAAAAACCATTTTTCATGCAATTAAATAAATGAGTGCGCACATGTATATTGGATTGTGTTTTTGGGTAGGGGCTTGTGTGGGGCCAGTGGGGAAGTGTTCACTTTTCGCTAGCTTAATGAGTCTCGATGGCACAAGTAAAAGCTGTTTAATCCAAATGCTAAGCGCCTTTTGCGCACAAACCAATTAAGTTGAAATGTTTGCCTCGATGATGCTTAAATAAACAAAGGCAGAGAACCAGCCAAGCAGGACCTGGCCACACGCCATGCCACTCATTTGATATAGATAGAAACATAACAATGACAATAAAAACACATCAAAATCAATCTGTCAACAAAGTTGTTTCCCTCTCGCACTGTCTCGCCCTCGCTGTCTCGCTGTCTTTGTCAAGTGCTGTCAGCAGAAGGACTTTTAACAGCCTCAAGGGACGTGACTTTACGTGGCTCCCTTTTGCGAACGGCAACTGAAGTCGACGCTTGAGTCATTGAATTTTTCAAGTATTTAAATGCAAAATGTACTTTGCAAGTCGTGAACTTGACTTGACTTGAGTCTATATAGATGCCATTATCATTAGCACACCGTCGGCAACAAAACAAAATAAACAACAGCAACAGTGGCAACATCATCAGCATCAGCACCAGCTGCGTCAAAGGAAACAGCATGCCGGATCTCATTTTATTACAAGAGGAAAGGCAAACAGCAAAATGGCGCCAACATTGTGTCAGGCTTTCAGTGGAAGGGAGAGGGAGAGACAGAGAGAGAGGGAGACTGTCAGAGGGTGGCCGAGCCCCAAGGCAGCTTGTTGCTACTGCACTCCAGCGAAGCGGCAAACACAATATTCATAATAATGATGATGACAATGATGACGATGATGATGATGATGATGTGCGGCAGCTGCCTGGCTGGCTTCCTGCCAACAATTTAGTTTGCTGTCTGTTTGCTTTTCATTCAACAGCGCCAGGCAAGGCGCGGCGCGGAGCCATGCGGCGTATGCGTATTGTTCCGTGCTGGGCATGCCACAGGGGCTGCCAGATTAGCTGTGTGTGCTACAACAACAGCAACACCAACAGCAACAGATTTCAGCGCTGCTGCAGTGTGGCATATGTAGGGAATTATCTTGCATTTTGCAGCATTTCATTTTAATTGAGCTTTAAGCTCTTCCACTTCCATTCACCACTTCGCACTAGTTTCTTCTTCATCTTTTTTTTTTTTTTGTTTTGTATCATTTCCATTTGCATTTTAAGCCTTTTTCCCTTTTAGCCCCACTAAATGCAAATGCGACAATGAATATGTCATGCAGATTTCGCACAAAATGTTCGCAATTTATGCAACGTCTGTTAAACGATATTTATAGAGTTATATAGCTGTCTACCTCTAGCTGTCTCTGTAGCTGTCACTCCCTCTCTGTCTGCCGTATTAAATTGGAATGATCCATAGCTAAAGCTGTAAATGCACAAAATTTAAAATCCCCGTTAAAATCGAGGGTATGCGTGGGGTATGCTGTTTCTATATG